TTTAGTATATCAGTTATTCTTTTTTTGTCACTTTTTAAGTGGTTTTCCTAGAGTTTGCAATATACATTTACAACTAATTGAAGTCCACTTTCAAATTACACTATACCACTTGACAGATAGTATAATAACCTTATAATAAGAAAATAATCCTAATTCCTCCCTTCCATCCTTTTTATCACTGCTGTCATTCATTTCATTTATCTGTAATATATATAATATACCTTAAGTTATACACACACACACACGCACAAGCATACATACTCAAATACACCGTTGTTATTGTTATTTTGGACAAATTGTTATTTGTTAGATCAATCACCATTAAGAAAAATAAATGTTTTTATTTTACCTTCAGTTATTTCTTCTTTGATTCTTTTCTTTATGCAGATCAGAGATTCTGACCTATATTATTTCCTTCTTTCTAAAAATCTTCTTTTATCTTCTCTTGAAGGTGGCAGCAGTTACTAGCAACGGATTATCCTAATGTTTGGCTATCCCAGAGAGTTTTTATTTCTTTTTCACTTTTAAAGGATAATTTCATAGGGTGCAGAATTTTTTTTGTGGTTTATTTCTTTTACACTTTAAAGATTTCACTCTACTCTCTTCTTGCTTACGTAGTTTCTAAGGAGAAGTCAAATATTCTTGTTTTTGTTTTTCTACATGTAAGTTTTTTTTCCTCTAGGTCATTTAGGATTTTTTCTTTATCTTTGATTTTCTGCAGTTTAAAATTTTTTTAATGTTTATTTATTTTTACACACACGCGTGAGAAAGAGAGAGAGAGAAAGAGAGAGAGAGAGAGAGCAGGGTAGGGGCAGAGAGAGAGGGAGACCCAGAATTTGAATATATTCTCCAGGCTCCGAGCTGTCAGCACAGAGCCCGACATCAGAACTGTGAAATCATGACCTGAGCCAACTTCAAACGCTTAACCCACTGAGCCACCCAGGTGCCCTATTTTCTGCAGTTTGAAGGCAGTATCCTTAGGTGTATTTTTATTTGATATCTAACATTAGTTTGGAGAAATTCTCAGTCATTATTCTTTGAAATATTTCTTCTGTTCCTTTTTTTTCTTCTACTTCTAGTATTCCCATTACATGTATGTTACACCTTTGTAGTTGTCTCACAGTCCTTGGATATTCTTTTCAGTTTTTTTTTTTTTTTTTAAGGTTTTTTTGTTTGTTTGCTTTGATGTATTCTCTAGCTCAGATTCTTTCCTCAATCATGTCCAGTCTACTAATAAACCCATCAAAGGCATTCTTCATTTCTGCTACAGTATTTTCAATCTCTAGCATTTCTTTTTGATTCTTTTGTAGGAGCTCCATTACTCTGTTTACATTACCCATCTGTTTTGCATACTGTCTACTTCATACATTAGAGCCCTTAGCATATTAAATCAGAGCTGTTTTAAATTCCCAGTCCGATAATTCCCACATCCTTGCCATGTCTGGTTTTGATGCTTACTCTGTCTAATCAAATTTGGTTTTTGGCCTTTTGATATGCCTTGTCATTTTTCTCAATAGATATGATGTACTAGGTAAAAGGAACTGCTATAAATAGGCTTTTGGTAATGTGGTTCTGAGATGTGGGGGAGGGGAAGCTTTCTAGAGTCCTATGCTTAGTTAGGTTTTAGTCATTTAGTGAACCTATAGCTCTGAACCATGAACTTCATGAGACTGCCTTAATTTCCGCCCCTTTTATGTGGGACAGCATGGCTACAGAGGGCTGCTGTTGGATATTTCTCATCCCCAGGTCACTTAGACTCTGAGAATACCCCAGTAGATTAGGCTGTCATTAACCAGTCTGCCCTGAGGACAAACCTTTCTTAGAAGAACAGAGTGCTATGGAGTATTTCAAAATGATTTCTTTTCCCCTCCCCCTGCCAGCAGCAGGAGGGGAATTTTCTCTAATATTTTCTGTGGGAATCTAGTCAAGCTCCTGGAGGTAAATCTCAAAATAATGTGGAGGCCCTCCTTCAGCTGGATTCCTTTGCAGTTTTTAACTCTCAGACTTGCCCACACTGGGCATCAATTACAGTTGTGGTTTTCCTACCCCGGCACTGGTTCCTGGGTGGTTTGCAGTCCTAAGTCTACTCTGTAAGTTGAGACTCCCTGTACTTCCCTGACTGTCTCTCCAATTTGGGGGACAGCGGTTTGTTGTGAGTCCACCCCTTTCTTAAGCATCAAAGAAGACCGGTGATTTTTCAGTCAGTTCAGCTTTTTGTTAGGAGAAGTGTTGATTTCCAAAGCTCCTTACATGTGGAACCTGAAACCAGAAGTCCTATACTTCTTATTTTACTACAATAAGAACCTACTAACTTGGGTTCTTAAGTTGAAACTTTTTCAGTTATATTACGGACCTGTTTCTTATCAGTAAATACTCTCTGATAGAATTTTCATTGGCGACAGTATCTTTTTCACGGTGCAGATTTTTATCTAGTCCCTTATTGCTTAAACTGCTTCCAATTTTTTGCAGTATACACGGTGATTCTGTGAAGGTTCATGGAGATAAATCTTTTTGTATAGTCATGATGATGTCCTCAGGGTAAATAAAATAGCTCTTCTTAACCTAATACCACAGAGGAATTAGCAGAAAACATCTAGATGCTGCTGTGCTAGAATAATTTACACCCCCTTCTTCTAAAGTGTGTTAAATAAAATGGTTTCCTTGCTCTTTCATCAATTCACAAAATGATCGAGCCAGTTCAAAACAACCTTTCACTCTTCTGGGATGTGTGTGTGTGAGTGTGTGTGTGTGTGTGTGTGTGTGTGTGTGTGTGCACGCGCGTGTGTGAGAAAGAGAGAGAGACAGAGAGAGACACAGACAGAGACAGAAAGAAAATGAAACCGTTTATGAAATTGTAAAGAAATAAAGGCTATTTTTATAGCCTTAGTACTAAGAAAAATCTGGAAATCCCAGATTTTTTTTTGGTTTTATTCTGCAACTTTCATAAGACAGAACAAAACCAGAAAAACCACTCTCTTTCTTAGATGTGGCATGCGGATGTTCCTCTCTAGAGGGCATGTCTTTTTGTTATTCTGTTTCACTGACAGAATTATCTATGTGAAACTGGCAACTTCACTTTTTTTGGGGTAAAATAACCAAATTCTAGCTACTTCCATCTATACTGCCTTTGACTCTTCTTCCTTTTTATCCTGTCAGTGTCCTTTAGCCACAAACCGCTAGGAACACACCTGCACTTGAACTATTTGGACTTTTTGTTAGTTGCAATGAAGAGAAGGCACACCATGGAGAACTATGGGCCATCTCAATATGGCTATTAGAAAAGACTTACTGTAGGATTTAGGCTTGTTGTTAAGTGATTTGAGGGAGGTTTCAAGAAAGCAGGGGTTTGCTGTAGTTTGCTTGCTGTCAGAAAGCAATTGTAATGTTATGATTTGGTATATTAGTGATCTTTATCCAAAATAAGGTGACCAACTGTCCCAGTATGCTTGAGACTGAAGGGGTTCTTAGGATACAACATGTCAGTGCCCAAACCAGGAAAATTCCCAGGAAAACTGAGAGGAGTAGGTTACCCTAACTAGAGGGCAAGAGAAAAAGAGACAAAGGCTGAAATTGGTAAAGAAGTGATAGCTAGTGACAGGAGCTAGGATTTGGGATGTTTGGTCATTCTTTGTGATTTAGGCAGTGCTCATGTTTTCGCTTGGATTCAGACTTGACTACAAAGTGTTCTCACCCCCGACTTGACCCACCATGGAGGCAGAGTGGCCATGTCAGATGTTGATGTTCTGTGAAATTGTTGATTTCACTAGGACACTGGGCCGGCTCCCAGCCAACACCAAGGTTTTTACACAGTCTTGGGGAGGTTTCTAGCTATCAGGGGCTAGTTTCTTTTTTTCCCCAATTATCTTCTTTGTGGACTTAGGAATACTTTTGGGGTTGACTTAAGAGTTTACAGATGCAATCTAGTTGTTAGAGACTCGGTTTCAGCCACATTGGTCTGTACTCTAATGAGAGGCGTTTGGGCTTTGAAATATTGAGTAATAAAAAAATTATCCTTCACTCTTAACACAACGTGTTTTTCTTCAATAGAAAAACATGTTTTAATGACTAAGACCAAATGCTAAATTACTAAATGTTAAAACAAAAAAATCAAATATCCTTTCCCCTTAAGATTGAAACTCACATTAACATATTTCACTGTTCTAGTAATGCTGCCATAAAGAAAGCCAATTTTTTGGTATAGAACACACTTGTCACAGAACATATCAACATTTGGATGAATACTGATATTTCACTCTTAAACCAGTGTTGTGCAGAAATACTAGTTTATAAAGTGACATTTCCCAATTTTGCTTTTTTGTTTTTAAAATTAGAAATCTTTTTCACTCTTAGGTGGATCCTGAGAAGCTTAACAGAAACCCATGGGGGAGGGGAAGAAAAAAAAAGAGGTTAGAGTGGGAGAGAGCCAAAGCATAAGAGACTCTTAAAAACTGAGAACGAACTGAGGGTTGATGGGGGGTGGGAGGGAGGGGAGGGTGGGTGATGTGTATTGAGGAGGGCACCTGTTGGGATGAGCACTGGGTGTTGTATGGAAACCAATTTGACAATAAATTTCATATATTAAAAACAAATTAGAAATCTTTTTGAAGTACAAATAATTGTTCTCATTTAAAATAAAATAAATTTCCTTACTTACAGTCATTGAAAAGAGATAGTTCCATCTTTTTCAGGTGTGTTAATTTAATGTTAAGAAAAAATATTACATGGTGGTTGGATTTTTTTTCGGGGGGAACTTTAAACTAGTAGGTGAACATATATAGTTGGTTTAGATTAGTCACTAAGGTTATAATAATACTAGTTAAATTGTGAAGTGTTATTTTAATTATTAACATTGGTTCAGTTATTTTCAACTCAGTTCTGTTGTCCCATATATTAATCCAATTGATTGTTTAACAATTAGTCTTTAAAACAATGGAGGGAATAATATGACCTTAACCATATTATAATTGTGATGTAGTTCACATTCATGTACTTTTCTCCAGGTTCTGATGACTACCTTGAGGTCAATATTCCAACAGACCTAAAAGTGGAACATTCTGGGGAAATAAGTAAGAGACAGGAAATTGAAGAATTATCAAAAGCTTCAAGAGATACCATACCACAGGCAATTGTGCTTCCTGCTGAAATTCCATGTGAGGTCAGTAAGAAACTTTGTTATTTAAGTGGCTCTCTTGTTTTCATAATAGAATGTGGGCTCTAAGATAGTTGGGTACTTTGTTCATGGCTGTGTCCTCAGAATCCAAAACACTCTCTGGCCATTAATAGGTATTTGGTAAATATTTGTTGAATAGTTAAATATTAAAGAATATATGAAAGCTTCATTTTATCAAATGTTATTTGGCACATTGCAAAAAGATATATAATTGCTATATATATAAAGCTACTTAAGAATTTTTTATTTCATTTTAACCAGATCAAGGATTTTATTCCTATAAGTAAAAACATATTCTTGAATAGAATTTGAAAACACTTATTTTCTAATATCACCAGTTTTTCAATTATTAAACATATACTAAAGGCCTGTGTTATTAAGTGGAAATATCGTAAGAGTTGGAAGAGTTGGTCCTTTCAGGAACAGAAGTATAATGGAGCAAGGAATGTAGTGTGGACTTCTGAGAAGGTAACTATATGAATACATGTCTTCCTGCTAAGTCTTCATTGAAATGGACTACTAAAATAAGCACACTGGTAGAGCTTGGCCTGAATCTGTATCTCCATAATCTCCAGACAGTGACCCTCAGTGTCTGTGTTGTCCTTCAGTGGGACAAGCCAAAGACACTCCTGAGCCTTAGGAGTTGCATGAAGGGATCCTTCTGGTAGAAGCCAGTAGATGTATGCCACTCAAGGACAGGGGTTGCGATTGTCTGTCTGCTGAGTGTCTTTAGGAAGAGAACCCCCAATCTTGCTGGTATTAGCAGTCTTGGGGGAAGCCGAATTTTCTGTGCAGTTGGGCAAAGTCTAATCCCTTCACCCCTAGACCCGTTACTTAAGCAGAAGAATCATTGCTTTAAGCGATTATGGTGTTCATTCCAAAGAAACAACAACTTCTTTGACACTACCTTAGACACTCCAGGAACTGAATCGTTCAAGTTTGAGGGAACCAACACATGTAGCCAGGCAAAGAAAAATTACAACTCGCTTAAAGGACTCAGGAACTTGAGGGAGGACAGGCTGAACAATCAGAACCTGTGGCTCCGAGTGAGTCAGAAACAGTGGAAGAGACAGAAATAAATATAAAAAATTGTAATAAACAGAAATGAGAATTATTCTCAAGGAGGTAATATCAACACAAAAAAGAAAAAAAAACCCTCTGGAACTAAACATTGCTCACTGAGAATTATGCAGTGTGTGTTAATAGCTGCTTTGAAAAATACATACAACAGTAAATTTGTTTTAATTTTTTTAATGTTTGTTTATTTTTGAGAGAGAGAAAGACAGAGTGTGAGGGGAGGAGGAGCAAAGAGAGGGAGACACAGAATCTGAAACAGGCTTCAGGCTCTGAGCTGTCAGCACAGGGCCTGATGCAGGGCTCCAACTCCCAAACCGCGAGATCATGATCTAAGTTGAGGTCGGACACTTAATCGACACCCAGATGCCCCAAGTAAATTTTGAATAATATGAAACCGTCCCCATTATTAAATTTGCAGAGAAATTGAAATCTAAAAATTAAACCCCACTGCCCTCCAGGCTGCAATAGCTCAGGTAGATGGTTGGGTAGAATCAGGGTACTTTCAAAAGCAGGATCATGGGCTGTCTTTTATTGACATGGATACAATTCTTTCAGACTTTCTGAAGTTAAATTATTTCAAAGCTCACTTAGGTACCCCACATTTTAAGGAATCTTAAGAATTGAAAGGTCATACGAGATTACTTTAGCACCAGCCCCACACACTAAAGAATTCAAAATAAACTAATTCCCAGACAAAAAACAGTTGTCCCAGCCAAAATCTTATGCTCTCGGAACCTAGATTTTAGTACAATCTGAGTCCATGTAACAATGGCCAAGTACCAAAGGAAAGATCATTTGTATCCAAATGAGTGAAAATCATGTTTCAGATTTGCCAGGGTAACTTTCAGTCAATGCTGGTTGTCTGAAAGCACAACCTGTGAACTTACTCATTTCTGAGACATCTTCCATTCGGTGGGTGAGCAGAGACAACCGAATATATGGCCTCCTCCCAGTAAGTGATACTTGAGACTTTGCCACCATCTTACAAAAGTTAGGGGGTGCCTGCGTGGCTCACTCGATTGAGCATCCGACTTCGGTTGGCTCAGGTCATGATTTCCCAGATTGTGAGTTCGAGCCCCACACTGGGCCCACTGCTGTCAACGCACAACCTGCTTTGGATCCTCTGTCACACTCTCTCTCTGCCCCTCCCCACTTGTATGCTCTCTCCCTCTCAGAAATAAAATAAACATTACAAAAGCTAGAAATTTACAGTGCTAAATTGCCAGTCACCAGGTCTTTTGGGAAACATGCCTCTTTCACACCCAGCACCTTTGAAATCTATAAAGTGCCCTTCTAGTTTTGGGTTTCCAGTATGCCAGCGCTGAGTTGAGTAACTCTATGTAGTGGCATGATCTTCATTCTCTTTGACTAATGGAGGGTGGGGGTAGGGGTAAGGTCCCTCCTGCTGCTGCTTCTTGCTGTAAAATTAATTGGGTCTGTGGACTTGCCTCGTAGAGGTTCCCTCCCTGTTCCCTCACCTGTGCTGGAGAATCAGCTTTAGTAGATTGTTCAACTGAGGCTGTAGGTAATTTTGCTGCTACTTTTGACCCCGGGAGCATGGGAGTGTTGATCCCTCTGCCTATTCGTCATTCCAAGCATTGTTCCTTTCTATGGATTTTAGATTTCCTAAGCCTTGAAAATCTTGTGCCACTCTAAAAACAGCAGAAAATACATTTTCTTCAACATTGTTTTTCATGTGGTAGTGAAGATAGGCCTCCAGTGTTCTGTTTATGTAAGTTATTCCCTGTCTCTTTGAGAAATACCTTGGTAGGTCTTAAAGGTGCAAATCTACTTAATTTGGCTTCTTCTTTTACCTTTTCTAGGATTAGCATTCTGTGCTATATTTTAGTATTTTTATTTATTTATTTATTTATTTATTTATTTATTTATTTTGTTATGAGCCAACACATTTGTTTTTCTAGCATATTCCTCTTGATTTTATCTTGTGGAGTAATTGATCGTGAGAGATACGATGTCCAAGTTCTAAGCCTGTCAGACACATTCATTGTATGAAAGAGACTTATCCAACTTTATGTCCCCAATGAGAAATCCACCTGGCAGGCATTCTTCCATTGGAATAACATATAAACTAGAACTGGACCTGGCCTATTATTTGTTAGCTTCTCCGCCCTATGCTGTGTATTACTACAAAGTCCAAATTTCATTAATTCCTCAGACAAACTCCCTCAGAGCGGTGGTTCTCATCTGGGAATGATTTTGCTCCCCCTGCCCCCAGAAGGGATTTGACAAAGCCTGCAGACAGTTTTGGTTGTCATCCTGGGGGATTGCTACTGGCATCTAGGGGTGGTCCCCACAACAATGACTTCTCTGGTCCCAAACCGTCAATAGTACCAACGTTAAATCCTGTCTCCAAGGACAGGAGATACATTTATGGCCCTTACAGTAATAAACTTCCTTCACATCACCTAATAATGGCATCAAGAATTAGTGCTCCCCTTCAGAGGCTTTTCTGCAATCCGCTCAGTTGTTCTGTAATCACTCGTTAGAGCTGCACAATCTGTAAGCAGTGACTCTTGTCCCTCTTTTTATGGATTTTACCTGAAGCCTTAAGAGGGAGCCTCTAAATGTTTTCCTCGGTGGGCCCTCTTGGAAAGTACTGTCACTTGCCCTCTGATGCCTCCTGCCTCTTCAGTTACCTCCGCAAGCCTCAGTCATAGGTTCAGCAATGGCTTCGTTATTTCCCCTTCACGAGCTCTATCCTAAAAAGCGGTTCGGAATGAGCTTATCTTCTTTATCTTGTTTTATCTGCATAGGTAGGCCTTCAATCTGTTTTCCCTTCCTTTTGGTAGAATTTGTCTACTGCAATCTCAGTTTTTCTCCCCCCAGAATCTCTTACTTCCTTGAGTATAATTAACTGATATTTCTTAATTTTTATGTTACTCTCCCAGTGCTCCTTTTCTGATGATAAGACTAAAATTGTTTTAAAACCAATCCAGTCACTTGTTGATCTCAGGAGCAAATATAATTCTTCAAGTTACAGTATAACATTGAAAGGCCTTTTAAGTGGCTTTAAGTCAACATTTGGATCTATATTAATTTCATTGAAGTGTCTTTGTATCCAAATCCTAGAACGTGGCACATTCCCTCAAAAAGACCTTCATTTTATTTGACCTGTTCCTTGACATACCTCTGTAGCTACCACTGTAATGTGAGTCTCCAAACCCACAGTGCAGAGCTGATTATGTAGCCAATAAATCTAGAGAAATCCTTAGACTATATGGAAAGGTGTGATTCTGAGGGGCCCATGGGAAAGTCACAAGGATCTCAGAGATGACCTCCTATGCATTCATTCCTTGGCCCAAGATAGGGTTTAAAATAATATACAGGGGGCTCCTGGGTGGCGCAGTCGGTTCAGCGTCCGACTTCAGCCAGGTCACGATCTCGCGGTCCGTGAGTTCGAGCCCCGCGTCAGGCTCTGGGCTGATGGCTCAGAGCCTGGAGCCTGCTTCCGGTTCTGTGTCTCCCTCTCTCTCTGCCCCTCCCCCGTTCATGCTCTGTCTCTCTCTGTCCCAAAAATAAATAAACGTTGAAAAAAAAAATTAAAAAAAATAAAATAAAATAAAATAATATACAGAAGCTAATGGCACTTCCCACTTAATTTCTCATACCAAATCACACACTAGTTCTTGGTAATCAACCTTAAAGTCTGATCCTGTGACTTCACTGAAAAGTACAGGAAAAGTTGCAAAAGACTATTGTGTGTATCAATGCCGAAAGGTTTATGTTGTAAGGTGCCACCCCTTTTGGTGGTAAGGTTTTACAGTGACCGAAAGAGGTCTTTACCTTTAACCAAGTGGCTCTCAAACTAAGCTGCGGACGGCGGTTACTGGGGGAGGTTTAAAAAAAAAATCGTGCCTAAATCCTACCCCCAGAGATTTGGATATAAATGGTCTGGTTTATGGCCTGGACACTGACAGTTTTAAAAGCTGCCCAGGTGATGCTGAAGGTGAGAATTAACAGCCAAATTTGGAACCATTGCCATAACCTAATCCTTGCTGTGCTGTCATGGGTCAGGTAGAGGTCAGCTACAGGAGCCTGCACAGTCCTGGCTTAATAAAACACATGCAACTATGCTCATTAAACTGGTGCCTATGAAAGTAGTCGTGAATATATGAAAAGAACCACTGGTCTGTGTAAAAAAGTCATGGTAAGCTGATATGATGATCCACTAGGGTAAAAATCCTTTGTGGCCTGTGCGTGATATATCATATAAGCCTAAAGACACCAACCCTAGGAGACCCGGAAACTTCACCCTTTATGTGTTCTATTATAGACCAAGTTTTAGCCCCTTTGTTTAGGTCTCAAGGTTTTGTGACCAATGCCACAAAACTTTAGGCTTTGGAAGGGATCATTATCATAATTCTCTCTGTCCCTGAATGTTCAGCGCCAAACAGGGGATAAACAGATGAGTCAGAAAGATTGAAAGCAAAACAACAGCTTTATAACTGATAAAGCCAAATTTACGATCCTTTGAGTATTTTCTCCGTTGAATTAAGTGTACCCACATAATTAGATTTTTAGTTAAGATGTTCATAATAGTTAAGGACAAGGCTGGACAATGCAGGCCTTCCCTCCTAGAGCAGGCCACTTTCTCCGTGGACAGGCAGCAAACAGCTGAAACTGGGAGTCCTGAAGGATGTAAGGAATGGAGCTGGGTGTGTTCAATTTTAAAATGTCACATTTTAACAGACTTATTCCATCTTCATTTTAAAAATATGTACAGATTGTCTCTTATGTACATAATTTTTGCAAGATGCCACAATGATATGAAAAAATAAAAATACTTTCAGGATATTGAAACCCTAGCCGGGAAGCCAACACACAGACAGGAAGAACTAATGAAGAGCAGGGGGCGTGACTTCGAGAAGGTCCAATGAGGAGTGTGAATGTGAAACGCTCCATGATTCCCTTAGAAGTTGCTGTGGGCTGCAGTTGTAGGGAGGGTTTATGGAGCTTGTGAAACCCCGAGTCAGGCCTTGTGGGAGAGGAGAGGAGAAGTGGGGATATGGAGGGAGAGTAGGAACGAAATGGCACGCCAACATTTGGTACAAACAGGCCTGGTGCAAAATGAAAGTGTAGGGGCCCTTGTTCAAATTACTAAGCGCTTTAAGGCAGTGACAGCAGAACATTAAAGCAAGTGCAGGGCCTTCTAAGTGCACGGCCAATGCAACAGTCCAGGTCATACACCTGTGAAGCTGGCCTTGGGTACAAATGAGGATGTGAGTCCCTCATTTGGGGTGGTCAGTATGCTTGTCTTTCCTTTAGAACTTTTCTCTGGAAAAGGTTGAAAGGTGGAGTCCTGCCCTCTATTAAGGAGGGAATCTGATGCATTAAGAAGCAGCCTGTGTGAGCACTCATGAATGAGAATGGGTGTGAGCACTCATTAGAATGAGAATGAGAATAATACACTGGGAGAAGATGCTGAGGCATACTAACTTTGGAAGGGGAGAGGCCAAAGTTGAATAAGCCACAGTGGAAACTTGAAAGGGAGCTCTGAAGAACTTTGATGCAGAGGATCTTGGGGATCGGGGCCAAAATAAATAGGAAGTCATGAAAGGTTTGGTGACAGGTGTGAGCAACAGAGGAACTAAAAAACTGAGCTAGACAGGAGGCCCCGTGAAGAGGAGGTGGTAGATGAGACGAACAGGAGGAGCTCACATTCCTGACCTCAGGGGTCACATGAGGCAGTGCTTCGGTGTGGCATAGGGAAGAATACAGGGAGGCATTCTTGACATGCGGGATGTGTGAGGCCAAGAATGTGTGTCCTGTGGAATAGTGGCATCTTTTCTCCATTTGCAATGTAATCGATGAGGAGAAATTTAGTTTAAAATATCCTGCAGCCAAATATTGGGGAGCACCCGACTCCGGTGAAAAAATGGCCGCAGTGGAAGTATGTAGGCTGAACCAGTTCTGTGGCATCAACATTTTTTTAAGTTTGTTTATTTATTTTGAGGGGGGGGAGGGGCAGAGAGAGAGAGAGAGAGACAGAGACAGAGAGAGAAAGAGAGACAGAGAGAGAGAGAGAGAGAGAGAATCCCAAGCTCCACACTGTCAACATAGAGCCCGATATGGGGCTCGAACTCTGAAACCATAAGATCCTGAAGTGAGCGAAATGAAGGGTAGGACCCTTCACCAGCTGAGCCACCCAGGCGCCCCACATTAATATATTTGTAGAAAGTCTTTGGTACAGAGCGTTAAAGTTGTAAGTTTTATCAGCAGGTGATTTATGCATACACAGATAACTTTTAAATAAGAGAACTTTGAAGTTAATGACTTTTGGGTAAACACAATTTTATAAGAGTATATAAATGAGGTTTCTGTTTATTTTGCGAGGGACTGAAATTTAGTTTGACTTTGAGGAAAGCATTTGGAAGGTGATACCTGAGATAAACATAAAAATGATATTTCGTTTTAGTTATTCTGAAGGGTCAAAGAGCACAGTGTAAAGGAGAGTACAGATTGTGATTTAGATAGTTCTGTTTAATCTTCAGAATGTAACTCTGTATTAGCTACGCTGTTCTTAAAAGAAAACTAATAGCCTTCCATTTTGGTTTCAGTGTGTATATGTGTGTATGTATGTTTTGGTTAGGATTAAAGGAAATATCTTTATATTAAAAGTGCTTAACATAATTCCCAGCATAAAATAGATATTCAGCAAATATTTATTCCTTCTTTTTCTCTGTATTAATGTCAATCTTTTTATCCCTAATTATTTTTTCTGGCTTTTTCCCCAGAACGGTTTTCAATAACTCCTTTTGACTTACATCCATAGATTTAGCTTTTGACGTTAATAAAATCTTGAAACTTTTAGATTTATAACCTTCAGTCATTTCAGTAACCTTCTTAGATACTCATCACACATAAAGAGTAACCAGAGAATCTCTATTAGGTAAGATTTAAAACTATTGGATATTTAAAACATTGGACATTAAAACTCATATTTAAAATGTTAAGAGATCTTACAGCTATACCTATTCAGTCCTGTCATTTATAGGTGAATATACTAAGTTCTGGAAAGGCAAAGGAAAAGGATTCAGGGGGGAAAAAAAGCTTTGGTTAGCAAATGACGGCTCCCTGGAGGTCTGTAGGTGATGCTCCTTACTCTGAGATAGGGATCCTCTTGGACAGGGAAGAGTCAAGGCCAAAAGGAAGCAACTGTGTCCTCACTTTTTTCAGTTGCAAAAGATGGGGTTGGGGAAAAAGTTGAGAATTCAATAGACACCAAGTTGATAAAATTAAAATGTGGTGAGAATCACATTTACATATTTTATTTCTGACTATGTTTGAAAAGATAGGACATGATAGAAGACATAATTATCCTGTGCAGACTTTGTTGTTATTAAATATAGTGGGTTCTTTGGTTAATGTAAACTTTTTCAAGGTCCTCATTGGGTTACATGTTTTGTCTTATAGAATCCTGGTGAAATATTTATTATTTTGAGAGATGAAGTCATTGGTGATACTGTGGAGGTTGAATTTACATCAAATAGCAAATGTGTTAGAACACAGCCAACCCGTTGGAATAAGACAGTCTGGTGTATGGAAGCTTTAGGTAAGAAATTTTTTTATGCATTAATAAATATAGAACATCATCCTGAGTTTCTTTCAATAAATTAATGATAAATGGTTTCACTTCCTTACAGAAACTAATATTGTTCTGCAGGTGTTTCCTGTGTTTAGCTTTCACATACCCAAGGTTGTTATTATTAATCTGGATTCCCAAAAGTATGAATGTGTAAATTATGAGAAATTAGCTTGTGTACCATGTGGTGAAATGACCGTCAGCAATATCACATATTTTTAAATATGTCAGCAGAGAGCACTTTAATATACATCAGCCATTAAATATGGAACTAAAATTGTTTGCTTTATTATAATAGGATTAATGAACGCTTGGACTGTCGTTCATGAACTTTTTACCTTTTTTTTTTTTTTGCCATTCTTTTTCACTATTTATCATCATGGTTCCATTTCTATATACAATCCTCCATCTTTTCCTTATTTAATTTATGAGGTTTACCATTTTATTATCCACCTTTGCTTGCAGCATGATAAATTGTATCAGATTTAAAATTCCAGATGGAATAGCCACACCTGCCACAATATTGTACTTAAATCAAAGTTTAATAGATTAATTTCTGAATGTTTTGATACAAATGTAGGACTACTTTGTTTTTGAATTTATGATATCTTTTTACAGTCAGAGAATAAAATTACCTTATAAAACTTCATAAATATGAACTTTGTAAAATATTTTAAAGTATAAAAGTATATACAATCTTATTATGAATCTGGAAATGTAGTAAAAATATTTAAAATTAAATACTGTGTCAAATACATCCTGAACTTTTTTTTTTTTCCTTTTGGAATGTAGCTATTATGAAGCCCATTTATAGAGCACTTACAAACCTTTTCTATTGTGCTATGCAAAGCATGTGTCCCCTCTATGGATTTCCTTGCACAGCCTAGGTGAGAGTTGAATTATAGAAAGGAAGGACTATACACCAAGCATTTATAAACGTTTCAGACACTGGTTCCTGTGATGGATGAAGGTATGCAGAAGTGAGATGAGAAAGAACTTTGTCTCTTCTCTTTCTCTTCCAAAGCCCCCTACTTCCTTATGCCACATTTTAAAATGATTTAATTAACATTAATTTCTAACTAATTAGTTTTCGAGTTTAAACTAAATCTAGTTAGGCTAAAATTGCTACAGAAAAATCAATATTGCAAATTAAGAAGTACTTAGACAATATTTCCCAAATAGCAAATCAAAGTGTCATATAAAATTATTCACATTAAGATTATATATTCAGTTTACCTAGCACTAAGAGCAGTGCAAAGAATAAATTATGTCAAAATTCAAATGTTTTTCAGAAAAGCAGAAACCTAATAGTCTATATCTTCCAAGATACCAGGCCATAATACTGTCCGTGTAGTTGAACAGCAAATTTGTAGTAAAAAACAAATAAAACACTATTTACCAGTTACGCTATTTAATCTCTCCAATTCTTATTTTCAATTAGTATGTTTTATAAATTAATAGGTTTTTTTTTCTTTTACCAAAGGTAGCAATAAATAGGATGGTTCCATGAATGTGTATGGAAATATGGATGGGACATACCTCAGTAGAAATGGCCCAGAGTCTTATTTTTTTTCTGCCTCATGCCACTGTTTCTTAACATTTTTTTAACCCTAGCAAGAACTACATTTAACATCATAACTCAGTACATATTCAGAAATACATACTTAAAACAGAGGTTTTAAAAGTTGTCATTAGATGGGCGCCTGGGTGGCTCAGTCAGTTAAGCGTCTGACTTCAGCTCAGGTCGTGACCTCAGGGTCTGTGAGTTCAAGCCCTATGTCAGGCTCTGTGCTGACAGTTCAGAGCCTGGAGCCTGCTTTGGATTCTGTGTCTCCCTCTCCCTCTGCCCCTCCCCTGCTCATGCTCTGACTCTCTTTCAATAATAAATGAACATTAAAAAAATTTTTTTTTATTTATTTATTTTTTTTTTTTTAATTTTTTTTTTTCAACGTTTATTTATTTTTGGGACAGAGAGAGACAGAGCATGAACGGGGGAGGGGCAGAGAGAGAGGGAGACACAGAATCGGAAACAGGCTCCAGGCTCTGGGCCATCAGCCCAGAGCCCGACGCGGGGCTCGAACTCGCGGACCGCGAGATCGTGACCTGGCTGAAGTCGGACACTTAACCGACTGCGCCACCCAGGCGCCCCTAAAAAAAATTTTTTTAAATAAATAAATTAAAGTGGTCATTAGAGTAATGGTTTCAGCCCTGACATATGAAGAACTTGGAAATTGTCACTCCTTTTCCTACCATAAGAAAAAGCTAAACAAACTGAAAATCAGTGACTTTTCTTGAACTCATCAGAGAACTAAGGTTGCAGGGGGAACCACTTTCCCAAAATCTGAAGAAGAAAGTAAATCAAGAGAGTGACACCCAAGATCTGCTTGGCTGGAGCAAAAGTCACTGGAGCCATAAACTGGTCGGCACAGTTAAATAGTAATTTTGATGAATTGCTGGGGGTGGAGTGTGGACTGGCTCAAGAGTATGAAACTCCTGGTGGCTACAGTCTTAAGAAGCACCCGTAATTGTGGGGGATTCCCTTCCAGGAACCCCACCACCACCAGGTTCACATAGGAAGATCTGGGGAAGATCTTCTAGAGGCTCTGACAGCTCTGAAGAATAATCATGGTGAACCACTCCAGTATATTCTCCATAACAAAGGCCTACTCTCTAGGGGAAACCACTTTACCAGTGCCTTATCCCCACTGAGGAAGGACATCTATCCCATTGTACCCCCTGTAGCTTTTCTATCTCACTTAGGGTGGGGAAGGAAAACTCTGCCACAGCAGAAATACTTGTGAAGGTCACAGCCTAGAGACGCCAGCCCACTTAAAGACCAAGACTTCATCGCAAGATTAGAATGCTTCCGACTGCCCCCAACCTGACCACCACCACAAAGGGGTTTCAGTATAATGGAGATGGTTCCAGTTGGAAGTACTGCAAGATGCAGGATCTTTCTGAGGAGGAGTAGTTAGGGAAGCACAAGGTCAAGAGGAAAGACAACAACCAGGATAATAGAGGACTTTGAAGCCTCTGGCATCGACAGCTATAATAGACATGAAATATAACCCACCTTCCAGCCAGATTTTTATAGTCTTCACTGCATGCTCACCTCCTCAGTTCTTATACCCAACACACCATGTCTGAGTTTCAACAAGAAATTACAAGACATGCCAAAAAGTAAGAAAAAAACATAGTCTAAAGAAATAAAGCAAATATTAGGCCAGGCTTAGATGTGACATGGATGATGGATTTTGGAGTTATCAGACAGAGAATTTTAAATAACTATAATTAATATGTTAAGGATTATATTGCAAAAGTGAACAACATGCAAGAGCATAGGGGTAATGTAAATAGAGAGATAGAAATTCTATTTCTTTTCGTTTACTTCATTGCTAGTCAAAACCAAATTAATTGACGTCGTGAATTAAATGGTAATTCACCATTCATAAAGTGGGACACAGGCCACAGGTGGAGAAACTATGCTTTGTAGCTGTGCTGACCAATATGGTAGCCACTAGCCACAACTAGTTATATAAACTTTATTACAATTAAATGAAATCTAAAATGAATTCCCTCAGTTGCACTACCCATATTTCAAGTGCTTCATTAGAACATATCCATCCTCTTAGAAAGTTCCATTGAACAACACTGAACAGCACAGTACAATTGAGTTCTTTTTTCCCTACACCAATTATAAAATAAGAGAAAGTGTCCAGCATGCTCTTAAAGGCTAGTGATTTGTCCAGAATCTTCAGTGGCCAAGGAGCTGTTTTTATTTTGTGTTGAGCCATTTACTGGGTAACTTTAGACAATTCTCAGTTGTGCCTCAGTTTCCTTGTTGATAAAATAGCTGCTCTAATTACATTCCAAATACTCACTTATAGTACATTTGGAAATGAGGGAGATAAGATGTTAAGACAACAAACACTTAAACACACATCCAACTGAAGAATAAGGTGTCAATCTCTTCCTCTAGCAATTCCCTTAAACATAGGGAGTGGCTTTTCTGGAATAACTCACCCTCAGCTTCTGGACAGAGTATGATAAAACATTTGAAAATTTAAGGGAACCGTCTTTCTAAGTATTGTATTCTTCATATTATACTCTTCTCCTAGTCCTCTGTTTATATTCCTTGATATGAAAGCCACCAGATCTGTTTGTTTCCCCCTCACCCTTGAGGAATCATGTTCAAGGGAGCTCCTAATCCTATATCATCTCATATATATAATCCCTGAACTATTGGTGATTTCCAGAGGCAGGAAAGATCTCAATCAGTATCCCACACCATCTAATAAGAGTCTATACAGATTTAAGTCTCTAAATTTTTTTTTTCCTGTACTTCTTTGAATACCAAGTTAAGATGGAAGGATCTAAAAGTAAAGTGGAAACACACCAGGGATCCTTCCCCATTATTGATGTATCAAGTTCAGAGATGGTGTCCATCTTTCCAGTCTCTTCCAGTGTAGAAAAATGGCTCATGTGATTTGATTTCTGATCCCCTGGTTCATGATTCAGTCAGTCGTGTGGCTCAAAATGTGGTTTGTCCTCCATAAATATTCTCTTGTGTAATACCCAGAGCTTCATGTACTGAATCTGGCTGGTATTGAGGGCTGGTATGGGAGCTTGACAATATTGTCCCAGAGCAGACTTATTTCTAGTCAACATTCCATAGTCCCTAGAGGATAGCCATAATCATCATGAAGTAAGATGACGTCTATGACCCTTACTGTCACTCTCAAATTTTGAGCAATCTGATAAAGCAGTGGTGTGCTAACACCATCTCATACTGGATTCAAAAGCCAATTCTGTGCATCTCTTCTCTACTTCATATTTGGTGACATTATCTTGACTATTAGTCTTCCCCAGCTGCCATGGTAAAATACCACCGACTGGGTGGCTTAAACAACAGAAATTTATTTCTGGAGGCTGGAAACCTAAGCTCAAGGGGCAAAAATTTGGGTTTCTGGCAAGACCTCTTTTCTTAGCTTGTAGTTGGCTACCTTCTTGCTCTGTCCTCATATGGCCTTTCCTCTGTCCCCAGGCACTTCTGGTGTCTCTTCCTCTTCTTATAAGGAGACCAGCCCTATCAGATAAGGGCCATACCCTTATGACCTCAATTTAACCTTAATTATCTTATTAAAGGCCTTATTTCTAACTACCTTGGAAGTTAGGGCTTCAACATATGAATTAAGGGATTGGGGGACACAATTCAGTCCATCACACTTTGGTTACTTGAAATCAGCCATGGTGGAAGTATATACACCACAGAAATTGGCAAAAACCATAAATCAGGGTTTTTTAATTTTCTTTTTGGAGAGTCAGTGTATCAACACAGCACTGGGATAAAGAAGACCTCATTAAATAAAGGAGCTTTCTGTAAGACACATATGCTTATATCACATTATTCAGAAGTTAATCCCAAAGTCACATCTAGCTGAAAGGAAAAATAGAAAATCTAGTCTTTTTAGTTGGATAGCATGTGCCTAGCAAGAAAAAAAAATCAGGATTCTGTTTCTAAAAGGAAGAGAATAAATAGACTTTGAGATAGGCAACTAGAATTCTCTTTTAGAGAATGGTACCTCTTAAAACCAACGATTATCCTTCCTTTGGATACTTCCTCTTAGTCATTTTAAGGGTGTGTGTGTGTGAGAGAGAGAGAGAGAGAGAGAGAGAGAGAGAGAGAGAAATACTCTGAACACTAAGGCATGTCACATACTCTGAGATCTACCTGCAGTGCTCAGAACTCTCAGACCTTTCACCACCCAACCCAACCCTTTGCCTTATTAATGTTCTTTTTATATGTATATTTCTTTCTAACTTGGTAGCAATTCAGAAAAAAGAAAATTATGTTAAAGTACAAATATGCTAACCAGTGAAGAAATCTTAAGTGCTCGTTTTCTAAATGGCATCTTTCCCTTCAGACACACTTGCACATCTTAACCTGATTTTTTTTTATTTGAGAAAATATCCTCTAATTTTGTGTTCTTTTTCCTTTAGACACACCTTTCTAATGGTATCCACAGGTTTGTCACTGACAGGAACTGTTTTGTGCTAAAGGAATTTGAAGTTACTCAGGAACTTGAATTAGTCTCAGCTTATGCCAGAAGTTATAAAAATACATGTGACGTCTTTAAACTAGAAATATTAACTAATGTTTACTCAGAAGGAAGAGGTATTCCTCTGGTACCTGCAGGTCAGCCAGAAAAATATTTTACACAGCAGGGGGACAACCAATTAAAAGTTGAGAGGAATGTAAAAATATCTACAAAGATACTGAATGTCTTTATTAATTAAGAAACTATTCTGGTTAATGTAAATTATAACTTCATAATTCATTAAAAGAGCATGAAAAATACTTTAAGATGTGCCAAATATTACACTGAACCTGCTTAGAAAAGTAACAACAATTGATAAGAAATTTTTCTAAGTATCATAATTGAGGGGGACAATTTTAACATATATTAAATATACCAATATTTAGGCAGACCAAAGTTTTAAAGCTACCAATATTTATTTACAAGTAGTGTTCTGGGGCACCTGGTTGGCTCAGTTGGTTGAGCATCCGACTCTGGCTCAGGTCACCATCTCACGGTTCAGAGGTTCCAGCCCCACGTCGGGCTCTGTGCTGACAGCTCAGAGCCTGGAGCCTGCTTCAGATTCTGTCTCCCTTTCTCTCTGCCCCTCCCCCACTTGTGCTCTGCCTCTCAAAAATGAATAAATGTTAAAAAAAATTTTAATGAAAAAATAAAAAAATTAAATAGTGTTTTAATCAAAAGAAATCCATATTGATCTCAGTTCCCATAGAAACATTAGGTAGGTTCATTTAAGGTTTACCATGTGATAAAAGGCAAAAATTGGTTCATAAAGGAACACAGCCTCTCAGGCAATGGAAATACAGAAAGAAAATCTCTTAAATTGTTGGATTTGTGAAATATGTATTTTTATGGAATTAGTGAATGTAGTTCTGACTATTCAAAAATACTTTATATTTTCCATAAATTGCTTCAGTCCCTCATCTGGAAGGACAGACCACTTAAATCAAAGAGACAGTGCAGGTTGACAAAGACTCTTGAATGACAAGATGTGAAATTTGAAAAGAATTCCTTTTTTTACCATTGCTCCTTTGTAAGTTTGCTTTCTTGTTTATCTATGTTTGATATGAGCAAGGAGTTCCATCTTCTTCCACTGTAAGCCTTTTTCTCCTCTTCACAGCTGACTCCAGTACCCTCACTTAGTTTGGTGATCTATGACCTACATTAAATGTATTAAATGTTACTTTCCTACTTTAGCCTAGATAGCAAACAGCAGGATTCACTTTCCTTCTCTTCTGAGTCCTTAAATTAATTGCCTGTATTTTTATTAAAGAGCTATAAAATGTAGATATCATAATGACTAGAGTCAAAGTAAAATAATGCTCAGGTGGTACAGGGTGCTATTGACGAAAGGCCAATTCAATAACACATATTTAGGGAAGGCCTCCCAATCAGATGAATCCATAAGGAATCCTCCAAGGTCTTGATTTAATAACTGACATTCAATAGATAAGAAAATAGATAAGCAAAGACAGTACTTCAAAGGACATCTATCTCTCGGGAAGATTATTCTAAAATCAATAGAACTAATGGTACAAGATATCAAGAATAAATCAGTTCATTTGCTTTCATGTTAGAGTTTAAAGAAATTAGAATATTTTAAGTATCCTTTATCAAAGGACTACCAAGCAAATCTTCTTATCATGTATTTCTCATGATTCATCACTTGACTTTCTTTCAGAAGGTTAACACCCCATTGTAAACTCTAATCTTTTTTTCTGAGTGACAAAATCCGTATCTTCTTTCCAAATCATCTTCCTGAAATCTACCAAAATTGATTTCATTCGACTTCAGTGACTCCAGAACCCTCTTTACCAGATGTGGGCAATGTCAGCTGATGAGATATATGTTATCACTTTCAGGTTTTGTTGCATTTTCTCTTACATTATCTACTGGATGGATACTGACTTTGGGAAGAGAGGACTTTTATACACATAGTTTCTTTATAATACAAGTGAGGTGTCTAGTCAAGCAATATGGGAAGAGAATATTACAGCCTCTTGATCTAGTTAAGCTTAAGATTGCTTTTGTTGGCTTTAAATCTCTCTGAGCAAAATTGTAAGAGGCCCTTTAATCTCTTCAGGAGATAAAGTAAAATTAATGCTTACACCTTAGAAACTTTTAAATATTCAAAACCTCATCAGGTGGCTAAGGTTAGAGAATAGGCATTTTTGGTCTTGTACTTAATAGCTTACTTCCAAACCCCAAATGTCTGGGTGACAATTTTCCAGGACTATTTGGGAAATATCTCCATGACAGATAGTCAGAGTTTTTAAAGTATGTTCTATAAATAGATTAAAGGCTTAATTTTGTTTACTTTTGTTATAATAAAATAACTTTATTTACTGAAATGATTATTTATTGGCACTCTTTCCTAGTGAGCCCAACATTCTTAGGAAACTTTAGCTGTGTTGGTATGTTAATGCAGAATTCACAAGGCAGTATATCAGTCACTTTAACAACTTGTCCACAAAAAGCGTTTTGATGAATGTGTAGTGTAAATAGTACTTAAATAGCAGGATATTAAACCTTGTTGCCTTCCCAAAGGTTTTTTTTGTTTTTTTACTGTAACCACTTGCATAAAAGTTCTATAGTTTCAATTGATTCTACCCTTTCTCCTTCCAAATACAATTTTGAGAAATTTGTCTATAATTAATGAGAATTTTCTTCATGAGATTATTAACAGATACACAACTTTTAATGAATTGTTGTACCATCCTAAATTCTAAAGTATTATGTAAACATAATTACAGATTACGACAAAAGAGAGTGTTAGTAGTAGAGAGAAAAGATTTAGGGCTTTGCTTTTGCCATAATTTTAGCATGTGTTCAGATTCTATAAGGTTTTATTTAATTAAGTCTAAAATTGTACATTATATTCTGTGGGTACTAAGGATAAAAAGAAAACATTTAGTGTCAGAAGTTAGTAAAATTGTTATGAATTCTTTTTTTTTAATGTTTATTTTTGACAGAGAGAGACACAGAGCATGAGCGGGGGAGGGGCAGAGAGAGAGGGAGACACAGAATCCTAAGCAGGCTCCAGGCTCTGAGCTGTCAGCACAGAGCCTGACGTAGGGCTTGAACTCACAGACCGCAAGATCATGACCTGAGCCAAAGTCGGACACTCAACTGGCTAAGTCACCCAGGCGCCCTAAATTGTTATGAATTCTTAAAGATTCCTTCATATTCTCTGCAAGATGTAATACTATGATACATGCATTATATACTCAGCTCCTAACTCTTGTTTGCATTTATAAGATTTTCCTGCTGGGTCTGTCAATGTCCACGTCTACTGTGATGGAGTCATTAAGGCCACAACAGAGATTAAGTACTCTACAAGTGCAAAGGCTGTGGAATACCTATTGGGAGTGGCAAGTCCAAGAGATGGTGTGCGCCAGGTAAGTTGATCTTTGCATGAAATTGCTAATAAGCTGAAGGGCCAATGCTGGATAACAGTATGCATGCTTTGGTATAAAGTCTGAATATTGGTTGAATACGAATGAATTATGGCTTGATAGGAAGGGAAGAAACGGACTTCTGTGGTGCAGAGATGCAGATGAAGTAGTTTGCTTAACTCAAGTCATTCTAGATAATGTCACTAGGAGACAGGTTGTCCATTACAAACTCGCTTTTGTGATGGGCTCACTTTAAAGCTGTCACAGAGCAGATAAAGAAAGACAGAAGGGTTAGAGAAAACTATTAAGAAATGACGCGGCGCCTGGGTGGCGCAGTCGGTTAAACGTCCGGCTTCAGCCAGGTCACGATCTCGCGGTCCGTGAGTTCGAGCCCC